AGCTCTGAGCTTTCCTCATTTACATCTCTGCTGCTGTAGGTGAGCCCCTCTTTCCTTCTGAGCCTCTCCTCTCCCAGGCTAATGCCTTCAGCCCCACTTCTTCCTCACTGTCTTCCACCCGAACTCTTCTGCATCTGCGTAGGCTTACTTACTTTTACAAGTTGTCCTAGCCCCTTGCAAAGCGTCCTGTTGGGGATTGGTTTAGATCCCCCAAGAGTACAAGCCAGCCATTACTCAGATCCACCCATTGCCTGTAGGCCTTCCTCCAAAGCTCTAGAGCAGGGGTAAATTCCAGAGAGCTGGCCTGTAGTGCCTCTCCGCTCCTGACCACAATTTGACTTCCTGATTATTGCACCCAGGCTGCTACTCATCCCTCCTCTCTATCAATCAGGACATTTCCTGCTGCTAAATATATCAATGCTCAACTGTTAGTAGGATTATAACAAAGTGGAAGCAACTGTGAACAGCAGCAACTCAGCCACCAAGTGGTAGGCCACGTCACATGACAGAGTGGGGTCAGCACATGGTGAAGCGCACAGTGCGCAGAAGTCGCCAACTGTCTGCAGAGTCAATAGCTAAAGACCTCCAAACTTGGTGTGGCCTTCAGTTTAACACAACAGTACGTACAGAGCTTCATGGCCGAGCAGCTGAATCCAAGCCTTACATCACCAAGTGCAATGCAATGCGTCGGATGCCGTGGTGTAAAGCACGCTGCCACTGGACTCCTGAGCAGTGGAGACATGTTCTCTGGAGTGACCAATCACGCTTCTCTGTCTGGCAATCTCATGGACGTGTCTGGGTTTGTTGGTTGCCAGGAGAATGGTACTTGCCTGACTGCATTGTGCCAAGTGTAAAGTATGGTGGAGGGGGATTATGGTATGGAATTGTTTTTCAGGGTTGGGCTTGGGCCCCCTAGTTCCAGTGAAGGGAACTCTTAAGGTGTCAGCATACCAAGACATTTTGGACAATTTCATGCTCCCAACTTTGTGGGAAGAGTTTGGGGATGGCTTCTTCCTGCCAACATGACTGCGCACCAGTGCACAAAGCAAGGTCCATAAAGACATGAATGAGCAAGTATGGGGTGGAGGAACTTGACTGGCCTGCACAGTCCTGACCTCAACCTGACAGAACACCTTTGGGATGAATTAGAGCGGAGACTGCGTGTCAGACCTCCTCCCCCGACATTAGTGCCTGACCTGACAAATGTGCTTCTGGAAAATTGGTCCAACCTTCCCATAGACACCCTCCTAAACCTTAAGAGACGGCCTTCCCAGAAGAGTTGAAGCTGTTATAGCTGCAAAGGGTTGGGCCAACTCAATATTGAACCCTACGGACTAAGACTGGGGGGCCATTAACCACTAGCCTACAGGGTACTTATACCCCCTTCCTGCCCAGGCCAATTTCCAGCTTTCAGCGCTGTTACACTTTGAATGACAATTGCGCGGTAATGCAACACTGTACACATATGAAATTTTTATCATTTTTTTTGTGACAGATAGAGCTTTATTTTGGTGGTATTTAATCACCTCTGGGTTTTTTTTATTTTTTCTTAAACCAAAAACCACTGAAAATTTTAAAAAATGTTCTTAGTTTTTGTTATAACATTTTGTAAATAAGTGATTTTTTCTCCTTCACTGATGTGCGCTAATGAGGCTGCACTGATGGGCACTGATAGGCTTCACTGATGGACACTGAAAGGAGGCACTGGTAGGTGGCACTAATGGGCATTGACAGGCATCACTGATGGGCACTGAAAGGCAGCACTGATACATGGCGCTGATATATGGCACTGATAGGCGGCACTGACTGGCACTGATAGGCGGCACTGACTGGCACTGTTAGGTGGCACTGACTGGCACTGATAGGTGGCACTGATTGGCATTGATAGGTGGCACTTGTAGCAAACTAGCTCATCAGAGTTGGAAGCGGAGTTCTCCTTTTTCTTCTTCTGTTCTGTTATTTGAGGTATTCCTCGATCATTCCTCACTCCCCCCCCCCCCTTTCCAGCCCTGAGAGGCAAACATTATCTCCTGACAGATGGTGTGGGTCAACCAGGTGAAGCATTCCTGGTGGTGCCAGCAGTCTGGGGAAACACTAACCTTTCTCACCTACGTTCTGATAAGGCCAGCCTTTTTCAGAGAGCTGGGAAGCATTGACCCAAAACTGTGCAAGCCCACACATCATCAAACTGACCAGCAGTAAGGGAACATTCCACAGGTCAACTGTATGTTTCATATCATGGTATATGAAGCCGTTTAGTTTAATTCAGAGTTTCCCAATGACCACTCCCAAAACTATAGTCAGAGCCCCCCTCCCTTTGAGAGGGATTTTTAAGAGAGGCAGGCAGACAAGCCTGAGAGTTAGAGCTTAACACAGATCTCCCAGCGTAACATCAATCTACCACCTGGGGAGACCCTTTGCTACTTGAATCTGCAAACCAAGGCTTAAATTGGCAAGTAACTTATCCTTGTAACTTCTTTCCCATTACCTCTTTGCTGTATCTTTATATACATATATATATATTTTTGTGACATCTCTTTGTAAATATTTTATTGCACCTGTTTGACACTTTTAGTAATAAATCTCCCTTTCTGAAAGTGTTAAACTGTTTTTAAGCGCTTACCTGCAATTCACGAATTCCTGCCTTTTGAAGAGACGCTACTGTGTTTGTTTATTCTCTGCCCAATTGACCATATTGGACAGGTGACTTTTCAATCATTATAGTGTATATTTGATAACGGGAGTTTCCCAGTCTCCTTATTTTAAAACAAAAGTGGTGCAGACAGAGGGTTAGTTGCGTAATTAACCCGACCCAGTAACAAGCGCATTCAGGCTGCAGACACCGATTGTAGCCCATTAGCTGGACAATCGCTGTGCAGGGTGCAGCTGGGTGGGGCCTTGTTACGCGCGTCACACCGCAGTTTTAGATCGGCCCAATCCTTTGGTCACGAGTTTGGTGAGAAGGTCTGGGGTCTGACGCCGTGGGCGTGATGTATTACTGTTAGTCGCGGTCGTGCGATTGTCGCATGTTGGTGGTGGCGACCGTGGATCCGTGACAGCACTGACTGGCACTGATGGATGACATTGAAAGGCAGCTCAGATGGACACTATGTGGCAATGATGTGCACTGGTAGGCACTGATGGGCACTGGCACGAGGCATTGATGAGCACTGACATAAGGCACTGATGGACACTGACAGGTGGCACTGCTGGGGCTACACTGATCATCAGTGCCCTGATGATTAGTGTACATGTCCCCTCCATGGAAAGCTGATTACCGGCTCTCCTCTCCTCTGTCAGCGTGACAGCTCGAGAGAGGAGAGAAATGCCGATAACCGGCATTTCCCTGTTTACATGTGATCAGCTGTGATTGGACACAGCTGATCACATGACCGAGCCAACATCTTCGGCTCTTTTCGTGATCGGTAATCCGCTGTGTCCGAGGGACACAGCGCATCGCCGATCGCCACGCTGCGCGCTCCCTGAGCCGCGCATGCGCAGTGAGACTGGGAGGACGTCATATGACTTCCTCCCAGAACGAGAGAACCACCTTGCGCCTATCATATTACTATATGGCGGGCGAGAGGTGGTTAAGGTTCATGTGCCTGTAAAGGCAGGCATCCCAATACTTTTGGCAATATAGTGTAGTTGGTGAGGTTGAATAAAGACACCAGTCCATCCAGTTCAATCTCTGTGTGTTTGTGTGTGTGTGTGTGTGTGTGTAGCGTGTTAAAACTCATATCCCTGTATGTTGTGTTGACTCTACAAACCAGCTTGCCGATAAAAGTGATGAGGCAGCTGTATAGCTTGCTTTTTGTGACCCCCAGAACTGTGGCCCTGTATGTGTACCATGTTTCCCAGGCTCTGTTGTCCTATCTAAGGGCATGGGACAAGAAAAGGAGGAGACATGCGTTCACTGGCTGTTAAGTACTTGTAAGTGATGCATATAATGTCACTTCCAGTTTCTGCTGATCTGCACTCCATTAGCTTCAATCAAGGGCAGGTGAGGGCTCTGATAGACCTCTAATGTCTCATCAAGGAGAACCTGTCACAAAGGAGAACCTGTATCACACAGAAGACAAACGTGATATAAAGTTTTAGTGAAAAAAAAGGAAGAAAAAAAAAAAAAAGCACCCAAGCACCTAGAAACCCCCAAAATTTTGACCCCTCACTGCCCCCATGTACACACAAGTGTAAGCACACCTATCGGGCAGCCTACATAGAAGAACATAGATTACATTATGTGTTACATATCACCACACACACTAGAAAAAGAGCAATGATTCTATGGACACTATTCACATTTGACTCTAAAGTGATGACCTGTCAGGGCTTTTAAAGTGTCTCCTATGGAAAGTATAGTGTACCAAAGTTCATCTTCATTTTGTGGGTGTACACAATTCTAAAGCTTGACATGTTGGGTATCTATTGATGTAACATAACCTCATCTTTCGAGTATTTTTTACTGATAATTTGCACTTTATTCTCCAGGGTATCTACTTTCAGAAAATCTATAATTTTGGGGGGGTTTAACTAATCATCAGGCCAAACATTATTTTTAACGTGTGTAAAAAAATGCAAAGATGGCAATGAAAGTGTTTAAAATTATATCTGCTCAGGTTACCTGCCAACAAATAGAATCTTTCTTACGCACATACTTTAACCACCTCCCGCCTGCCATATAGTCCAATGATGGGCACAAGGCGGTTCTCTCGTTCTGAGAGGACGTCATATGACGTCCTCCCATTCTCACTGCGCATACACGGCTCAGTAAGCGCGCGGCGATCAGCGGTGTGCTGTGTCCCTCGGACACATCGGATCACCGATCCATGGAAAGAGCTGAAGATGTTGGCTCGGTCATGTGATCAGCTGTGTCCAATCACAGCTGATAACATGTAAACAGGAAAATGCCGGTTATTGGCATTTCTCTCCTCTTGAGTTGTCACACTGACAGCTCTTGAGGAGAAGAGAGCCGGTAATCGGCATTCCGCGGAGGGGACATGGGCACTGATGACCAGTGTGCCCCGATGATCAGTATATCCCCAGTAGTGCCACCTGTCAGTGTCCATCAGTGCCTTGTGTCAGTGCTCATCAGTGCCAGTACCACATATCAGTGCCTACCAGTGCACATCAATGGCACATTATCAGTGCCCATCTGAGCTGCCTTTCAGTGTCACCCATCAGTGCCGCCTATCAGTGCCAGTCAGGGCCGCTTATCAGTGCCATATATAAGTGCTGCCTTTTAGTGCCCATCAGTGATGCCTGTCAATGCCCATCAGTGCCACCTATCAGTGTTCATCACTGCAGCCTAATTAGCGCACATCAGTGAAAGAGAAAAATCACTTATTTACAAAATTTTATAACAAAAACTAAAAAAAAAAACCTTTTTTTTTCAACATTTTCAGTGGTTTTTGGTTTAAGAAAAAATAAAAAACTCTGTCTGCAGCGTTGGACCTACTTGCTTCTTCGGAGGTGGAGCGGGCCCTGCATTGGACCAACACAAATTTTATTTCTGTGCTAATAAGCCGGGTCCGATGCTGGCCAGGAAACTCAATTCTGTGGGGAAACCCCATAATCCGATACGATTGCAACTTCCCCCCGGGTGGCTGTACTTCTAATCCCCAACAGATTGTTTCCCATTTTGCAGACTTCCTTTTGTGCCTTTACGCTAAACCAGATCCCTTCCCTGTGGCTCAGGCAGAGGCATTCTTCCAAGATCTCCGACTTTCTGGATTATCCTAGGCAGCTCAGATGGCCCTCAACGCCGGTGTCACTGTATCGAAAGTGCTCCAAGCTATCAAATCTCTACTGTCCCACCGCGGCCCCAAGTCTCCATGGCTTCTCCGGTCTCTATTATAAAAAATTTGCAACCCTGTTGGCACCCTTCTTGGCTGACTATTTCAATGAGTTACAACAGGGCTCTTTGCCCTTTCCGGACGCGCTTAGAGCTTATATCTCCATGGTTCCTAAAACGACCGATGTGCAGGAACCGCAAGCCTTCCAGACCATTTCTCTTAATGAAGACCTGAAGATATTGGGCAAGATCCTTTGTTTTTGTATCAATAAATATTTGTGTAGTCTGATCTACAAGGACCAAGTAGGTTTTGTCCCTTGGAGGCAGGCGGGTGATAACGTTCATAAGGTGGTCCATCTTATACATTTTCTACAACAGCGGAAAATCCCGGGATTCTTACTGTCCTTAGACATATATAAAGCCTTTGATTCTCTATCCTGGGAATATCTGCAGTTTGTGCTGTCTCGTTAGGGCTTTGGGGATTCTATTCTTTCTTGGATTCAAGCTTTGTGTTCTTCCCCTTCGGCTTCCATTAAATATGCTGCATATTTCTCAGATCCCTTTCCTATTTGGCGAGGGACGAGACAGGGCTGCCCCCTGTCCCCGGCACTCTTTGTCCTGGCACTTGAGCCGCTGGCTTTAGTGCTCCAGACCGATTGTAATGTATCTGATTTTGGATAGGACGCGGTGATTCAGTGAAAATGACCATCTTGCCGAAATTGTTATACTATTTTTGCACCCTCCCAGTGCGGGTTCCTCCTCATTTTCTTTGGTTGATTCAGGCAAAGATTATGCATTTTATCTGGGCCGATAAGCGCCCCAGAGTCTCCAGAAATACGCGTTTTGTTCATAGACTCCAGGGTGGTCTTGGGGTGCCTAATGTAACTAAGAATTATCAGACGAGCCAGATTTCCCTGCTGTCTATCTTGCACGCTTCTTCAGACGTTCCTCTCAGGGTCCTGCTGGATCTACCTAATTGTGCCCCTATTGCGACATCAACGCTTCTATGGCTTCCCCCTGCCCTATGGCACTAAGTCCGATTTTGCTCCATGGCTTACAGGTGTGGGACTCGGTACATTACTCCAGTTGCCTGATGTCACCTTTCCTACCTTTGCTCCCAATTATTAACAACCCTCTCTTCCCACTGGGTTTAGATCAACCAAGGGCATTTTCTTGGTGGGTAGCCAATGGTTTTTTCCCAGGTGCGACACTTTTTGACTTCTCGGTCCTTCCTCACTTGGAATTCTTTTCGGGAGTCACGGGATGTCCCTCCGGAAGAATTTTTTTGTTACCTTCAATTGCGACATTGGCATCTGCCTTTTGAAACTGCTTTGCCAACAGCGTCCGGGGCGCCCCGGGCCTTATTTCCCTTCTTTATGCAGCTTTGAACAGACGCTCGACGTATACTTCTCTCTCATATGTCGCTCAGTAGGAGTGAAACCAGGGGGCAGTTATGGATCTGGAGGACTGGAATAATCCGCTTATAGCTAAATGTTCATTTAATACGACCACGCTGGAGGCGGCATACAAGGTATTGTTTCGTTGGTATTGGGCTCTGGCTCGTTTGGCCCAGTCGAACCCTGCCTGCAGTGATCAATGCTTTTGGGGTTGTGGCCATCGTGGTGATGTATTGCATATTTGGTGGTCATGCCCGAGACTGTTTCATTTTTGGTCTCGTGTGTTTGGCCTCCTTTTCACCTTGTTCCATCTCTCCATACGCCGGGATGCTTGGTATGCTTTGCTTCATTGTCCCATACCGGGCCTCTTGGCTCATCAGCAGAAGTTGGCTTCCTATTTGTTTTTGTTGGCCACTAGTACAATTGCTCAGGCCTGGAAGAGCCCGTTTGTCCCTCTTCAGGGGATGCGGGACCGTATGACCACTATGATGCTCAATGAACAGATGTTCAGTATCTGTAACGACTCCCAACGGAAATGATTGAAAATATGGAAGCCGTGGTTGCAATATGCCTTTCCCACACTCCCCCCGGCTAGTCTGGGGTTGTGATGTTGCTTGGTATTGGCATTCTCGGACCCCTGCTCTTGGTCTTATCTTTTTCTTTTTGTACTCCTCTTTCCTTTTCTTTTTCTGTTTGTTTTTGGTGTGGCAGTGGAAAGCTGCCTTTAGTTTGAGTTACTGTCGGTGTTATAATAATGTTTTTGTCATTTATGTGCCATTGATAGCCTCTGCGTGGGCGCACCTTTTGCTCTGTTGGTGTTAGAGCACTGTTTTTTAATTTTTTTTATGTGCAATTGATATACCCTGCATGGGCGTGTTTTGTTGCTCCTGTCTTAAACTGTTTATAAAGTAATAAAAACATTGAAATACAAAATTATATCCGCATTCACTCTATAACTATGATTGAAACCAGCATTTCAATTAACTCATCTTCTTCGCTGATTATGCAGTAATCTTATCAATAAATGGATTGAGACTTTCCTGCTGGGGTCACATACTGTATAAACACTGAAGATTCCTGGAACTCTTTAAGGTCAGAGCAGAGACCCCACAGATACGACCAATGGTGTCACTGCTACTTGTCTAACACAGACATCCCATAGATCAGATTCTGCTGCCTCTACTCATCTGTACATTTGATGCAACAATCTAATACATTCACACAGATACCTATAGAGTCCACATATAACAGACAACAAGAAGCACCAACAATTTGTAACTTTTTCCATAGCTGCTTCCATCCTCTGAAACTCCCTTCCCCAATGCTGACTACCTTCTACTCTGTCCACGTTTAGATGATCCCTGAAAACTCATCTTTTCAGAGAGGCCTATCCTGCCCCCACCTAACAACTATACATGTATTTTGTCCATCAGCCCATCAACCACTGTTATTACCTCTTGTATCTCTCGACCCGCCCTCTTAGATTGTAAGCTCTAACAAGCAGGGCCCTCTGATCCCTCCTGTATTAAATTGTATTGTAATTGTGCTGTCTGCCCTTATGTTGTGAAGCCCTGCATAAACTGTAGGCACTATATAAATCCAATATATAATAATAATTTCTCTGGCAAAATTTCTGAACATTTTATTATTCATAGTTAATATTTACCCCAGACTCTTGATGTTGTGTAGAGCTGGTACAAGTTTTTCTCAATCCTTCTCTCTGAATATTACATGAATGTAGCTTTAGTTCTCTCTCTCTCTGCAGGATTGAAGGATAAAGGACAGCACAGAGCAGTCCAGAGGGCTGAGGGGGACCTTGGAAAAGTCAATGTTGTTTGATCCAATACATTGTGACACCAGAGCCTTATTCCTGCTTTCATGGAGATAGTAGAATACATTAAGAAGATCTCTGTTGCCTTTTATGGATGTGTCAGGTCTTTGTTCTGCTATTTTCTTCTGGATCCAGGTGATGATATGTCTGGCAGCCTGAGTAGACAATTCTCCCACATGAGACTTTAACATGGATCTAGTAGAAGAGTCTGAGAAACCGCAGAGGAAACGGAGGAATATATCGGCACAGCCGTCTTTGTAAGATTCAGCCTCATCAAGTGTTTCCTGTAATCTGTCAGCATTATAATCAATGAAATAGACTAAAGCAGCAAAAAACTCCTGAAGAGTGAGATGTAAGAAGGTGAAATCCACATCAGGAGGCCGACCAGATTCCATCAGGAAAGATGAAAAGAGATGTTTATCATTTCTCACATTGAATGAGTCCAGATGACGCTCATCAAATACAATCATGTGATTCATGACTCCATGTTCTGCCATCCACCCCATAGATGTCAGCAGTTCCCGGGCAGTGTGAGCACCATCTGTATTCTGGCTGTGATTGGCCAGAATGTTGGAGACAAAAGTCACAAAGAGTTGTGTCACTGTTTTGGGTAATGATGTCATCAGCTGATCAGTGATTGTTGGTTGGGATCTGAAGCACATTGATAACACTGTACAGATGATCCAGCAGTATGCTGGGATATAACAGAAAGTGTACAGCGTGTCATTCTCCTGCACATAATGAAAAGCCTTCTCTGACCATTCCTCATTTCCAAAGAAATTATTGAAGAAGGTCCGTCTGTCTTCATGGAGAAATCCCACGATCTCCGCTATTCTCTGGAAAACATCGGTATTAACTGATGCCAGTCTGGTTGGGCGGCTGGTCATCAGTACAGAGCAACCCTTAAGAAGTCTCTGCCTCACCAAACTGACCACAATCTCACCAAAATGTGTTCTCTGTTTTTGATTGGACGGTTTACTTGATCTGAAATCCATTTGGTGAATACTTTCATCTAATCCATCAAATATAAACAGAAGTCTCTCTGGATGTTGTAAAATCTCTCCAATCTGACCCTCCAGATGTGGATATTGTTGAAGAATCATCTCCTCAAAGCTGACCTCTCCCCGTCTATTAAGGTCCCGGAATCTGAAGAAGAACACAAAGGCAAATCTCTGGTAGTGTTTTCCGGTCACCCAGTCATAGACAAACTTCTGCATCAGTGTGGTCTTCCCTATTCCTGGCCTGGCACTCCGCTCACCATTACAGCATGTGGTACACATCGTAACTGGTGGATCCATTGGAACAGCCTATTGGGGAAATATGTTCCAGTCCAGTCTGTGTTTCCTTCAAGCATTCCTCATGTTTTTACCCCGGTCTGTA